ATTCTCTTCGAGGCATTTTCGGTTTGCACACCCTTTCCTTTTTATCCTTTTTGAGTTGTTCTCCTCCTGTCCTCTCTTTTGAGTCTTGTGTTCTTGTGGTAGTTGCTAGTATTGGTTTGCTATATGAAAGTGCTAGGTCCTTTATTTGACTTCCTGTTTTGAGTTGAAGCAATGAGGTCATTGCCTCATTTTAAGTGTGGGGGAGCCTATTCGGATTTTCGCATGCTTATATGGTGGGCCGGACTAGTTTTAGGTCTTTGTGTTGTTGAGCATGGTATTGGTGAATTATAGGATTTGTTGATGAATGTTTGATGAAATTGGGAAGTTGTGATGATGGTGAATTATAGGATTATTGCTTTTTAATGTTTCTTGGTTAGTAATTATTCAAAACCCCTATCTGATTAGAGTGTTTAGGATTTATTTTCTTTTTCTGTGTGATCGATACCAAAGCTAAATTCCGAACCGCCTTCATCGTGAGATCGACCCGAGGTCGGGAGTCATTCCGTACTCGGTAAAAATATAATTTGCTACAACAGGTATCGTTTGGTTCGCTTTTGTATGGCTCTCTAAAGGACAGGTTCTTGGACATGTTACCGAGATGCTTCTTTTTCTTGTTTTCGAAGGTCGGTTTCTGTCCTTTTGACGAAGAGAACTCAAAGTTAGGAACCGACATGGACTCCTCGGCAATAACATGTTGTTGAGCGTGAACGAGGAATTCTTGAAAAGTGCTCGGTTTGTTTTGACATAACGCCCAACGAAACATGGACCTTGGCTTTAATCCTGATATTGCCGAGACAAGAAGCGTCTCAGGATGACAAGGTTCCATATTTTGTACGCGTTCATTAAAGCGCGCAATGTAATCTTTCAAACTTTCATCTTCCTTCTGGACTATATTTGTAATTGACTCCTTAGGTATTAAGCTAACTTGAGCCCCGATGAAATGGGACCTGAAAGCCGATCTGAGTTGACACCAATATCGGATAGATTCGGCCGGTAACGAATAATACTATTTCTGAGCTTTAGGACCTAGGGTCAAAGAAAACATACGACATCGTAGTGCGTCGTCCGCACCATGTAAGTCCATCCATGACGTATAATGTCCGAGGTGAGCGTCAGGATCAGCGTTTCCGTCATAGAGGCCAATCTGTGGGACTTTGACTTTTCCCGGCAACGGGCCTCTGGTCAACTCGGGTGCCAGAGGAGAACCGACTTCCATATAGACATGGTCCGGTTCTGACACGTGGAGATGTTGATAAGGCCTGATTTGAGTGGTTTGTCGGGCTTCCAACTCTGCCACCTTCCTTCTTAACGCCTCGACTTCGGAAACATTACGTCGAGCACAACGATTACGTTCAATTTGCATCCTTAGGTCAACCGGATTTTTGGTTTGTTGAAACAATGAACGAACTGCATGGGGAATTCTGGGGACATGCCTGGGATGACTTTCAGCAACCATCTCTGGTTGGTTCATTTCTGGCTGGTTCATTTCCGCCGGCAGTACGTTGTCCACCGGTGGAGGGGGTGGATTGTTGTCGCGTGGTTGTGAAGTGGCGTGTGACGCCGCTTGATTGTTGTTACCCCTTTGTATGGGAGGAACTTGTTGTCTTGTCGGAGTTATAGGAGCAAAAGGTTGTCCCGGTATCCTTTGTGATGGCCCTGGCATGGTTTGGGCCAACAAAGCAGTGAGTCCTCGAGCAAATTCTGGGTTCTGCATGAGCGTGGCGATATCCGGCATCACAGGCACTGGATTATGTTGACCGGTAGGTGCTTCAACAACACGAACGGCGCTTCCCATGGTTGTCGGATTATCCTGTCCGGACTGCGACATTCTTGATTTTTGAGATGTGGTGTGTATATTTCGAAAATTAACTCCAAATATCTTATGGAGCCCTTCTTCTAGCGCCAAAATGTTGATAAACGGATTTAATCAACGTAATTGATATAAAAATAACAATAAAGATTGCAGAAAAGGAGATTTTTATTGAAAATCTTGAAGTCGGTTACAGAATTGGGAAGTCGGTCTTTCAATGTTCACTAAGTCGGTAAACAAGAAAAACCGAGATAAATGTATATGTTTTTATCACTTTTGCCGAATCCTAGTATCGTGTTTGATGTTTCTATTTATAGTTATGCTTGGCACACCTCCCTAGACAAATCGGCTTCGTTTTAATGAAGATTTGGCAGTTTAGGGGCGGCCATGACGTAGGCAAACGTTTTAGGCAATGATGAGCATGGGCGCTCCTCTATCTGTGTGACAAGCGTCACTTCTGTCGCATTGAAGTCGGTACCATATTGTGACGTCGGTATTTTGGTAGAATTTCAATCTTCTACGACTTCCTGACAAGCTGTCCTTCAACCGAGGTGGCCTTTTCGAGGTTTCAATGGTTAATTCTGACGACCTTTAGGATCTGCTGTTTTACTCGGAACGTCGTATGAGAACCGAGATGATATTTCCGAGGTGTCATATATTCCGTGTTATATCGTTAGAGATCCGGTCCACAGTTTAGACTTCATGATATCTTTAATCTAACCTTTATTTCAAGATACCTTATCTTGATATCAACACTGGCTTCGAACCCTAGTTTCGTGCCGAGTATATTTTTCAAGTCATAGTCGAGCCTTGGTAACAAGATACTTAGAATATTTTTCTAAGTGTGGAAATGTTCCAAGACAAGCCTAGACATTTATTCCCGAGCCTTCCCGCGCCCGAAGTTCGAGCCAAGCCATGCCAAATGCTTGGTTAAGTGTTTGGATCATCCTTGACATTTTTCTAAGTCCTTGGATCACAAAAAGATGCATTATACTCGGCCCAAGCATCATGCACGCGAGCAGCCCACGAAGTCCCACGCCCAGGCCCTTTCGCGCCAGCCCAGCGCCAGCCCAGCGCCAGCTCGCGACAGCCCACCTTCTTGAGCCCAAATGACTAAGTTCCGGCCCATTTTCACCCAAGACCTCTTCATGCGTGTATTATACACTTAATGAGGATCATTTTGAGATAATATGGCCCTAACAAAGTATTAAGGAAGTCAACTAAATTAGCAAGGAAAGTGGGAGCATGTGCACTTGATTTTTTTATTAAAAAATGTAAGTGTTTGTCCCCTTGTCTTGTACCAGACCTGACCAGACCTCTTTTGTCCCCCATGATGCTCTGAATAGTCCTCCAAATTCGTGCTAAGTCAGGTCAAGTAAGTCCAAGACCACCCACTCCAAGTTTCCATGCATGTGAAGTGGTGAAAGGCACCCATTCTTGTTTTCTTTGACCACACCTTGTAAAATCCGCCCCCTCCAACTATTTAAGACCTCTATTCAGTCATTTCAGACCCTTAGACACTCTAAAGCTCGAGCATAATAGTGAGAATTGAGAGAAAAACCGAGAGCCTCCCTACCTAGCCACCACGCGCGCGAGCAAGCCGAGAAGAGGAGTTCACGAGCTCCAAGCCATTCCAGCCATATTCCGCATTTAGCAGCCGACCCATTCCTAACTGGCCGTAATCGGCGACCGGCTTCATCAAATCCGGTCGGGGCATAGAATTTTATTTTTCTTTTTTAAATTATTCAAAACGTAAAAAAAAAAAGTATCCCTGGAATGAATAATCGTTTTTCGGAGGTTGGACGAGATAGAGTGGAGAGAAGAAAGAGAGATTTTATTTTTTTTATAAAAAAGTAAAATGGTCTTTAGGGGCGGGACCATATTAGCATGATTGGATATAAAAAGTTTTTGTTTTGATTGAATTTTTTGTTTAGGTTGGTTAAATTTGAAAAAGTTGGTATGGTTAGTTGTTTGTGAGTATATTAAAATAATATTTAAAATAAAATGATTAAAATTAAATTGATGCAAAAGTAGGAGAGAGAAGATGTGATGTGATGGTTAGTTAAAATTATGTGCGTTCAGAATAGTAAATTAAGGTTGATGTTGTGTGTAAGAATGATTGAGTGATATTATTTAATTATATTGATAATATTGATGATAGTGGGGTTGAGTTAAAGTTTGAGTTAAAAAAACCTCAATTGCTATTCACCGCCCCCTTATTACTACTTACCGCCCCCCTTTGGACAATTTTGCCCTGACATTTTTTTTCAAAAAGAAAAAAAAAAAACCGTCCAACCGTCGCCCCTATAACACTTCAAAACCTTCACCCTTATTTTTTTGTGTGTTTCGAAATAATTATTTCGAAACCATACAGATTTGTTTGTTTTCTTGCAGAGTCGATAGCCTCTGTATCACTATAAAATAATGAAGTGGTATCGAAACCACCATTGTTATCAATACCATCTCCTCCAAAATCTTCTCATAACACCTGTAATATAGTACAATATTTATATCTTTAAAACATGTTAAATTATAATCTAGAACATAATCATTTCTAATTTCTAACATTATAACATATTTTTTCTAATTTATAAGATGTATTAATTCTATTCTAATGTATAAGATAATTAATTCTAACATGTAACATAATATTGTAACTCATAACACGATAATATCTAACGTCCAATTTAATTATAAGATAATCAAGTCTAACATGTAACATAATAATTTTGTAACTCCTCACGATTATCGAACGTCCAAATTATAACATAATCAAGACTAATGTATAACATAATAATTCTAATATATAACATAATAATTTCTAACTCCTAACACGATAATATCTAACGTCTAATTTATAACATAATTATTTCGAATATATAACATAATAATTTATAATAATATTATTTAAAAAAAAAACATGGTGTCCGACCGGTCGAACCGGTCGGACCGGTCACGATCGACCGTCGGGGCTGGACGCCGTTTGGGCCGTCCGGTTTCAGCGGCCGGACAAATTTATTTTTTTATTTTTTACTTTTTGAAAAACAATAGCAGGTGCAAAAATGTCCAAAGGAGGCATAAATAGTAATAGGGGTGGTGAATAGTAATCCTGTAAAAAAATTGGTTAAATTAAAAATGATTTGGATTTTTTTGGGGTAGAATTTATATAATGCTCTATGATATTTGTGAGCAAAGATTTCGGCGTTCTATGCTGCCTCTCTAAAACCCTGAATTAGGGCTTTTCCCGCCCTTGAAAGCTCCCGCTCCTTGTGTCGCGCAACCCAATCCGGCGCCTCTAGTTTCCATACACCATCTGTGCATTGTCGTGGAGGAAAAAATGGTGTCTCCCAAGCAACTCTTGTCCGTGGTGGAGTCGACTTTGCTGGGACGGACTACGCCCACGGCCGCTCAGAGAATCGAGCTCCTTCACGCCATTCGCCACTCTTACCCCTCTCTCAAGTCTCTCCTCTCTTACTCGGTACCTCCTTACCTTACGTGTGCCTGAATGTGTGTGTTCTTCTAACAATTCCTCTGTTCGTGTAACTTTTTGTTGTTCCACTCTGAAAATGTATGTCCTTTTATCTTCAGATTCGCTGGCATGTGAAATCTTGAAGATTTGTTGAATCTGAATTATTGAATAATCAGCAAATTAAAATTTATAATGATTATCTTTTTGATGTTATCCTACTTCATTCCATTCATTCCTTGCGAATCAAACTCCAGTCTTTGGTGCCGGTATTGGAATAATAAACTGTTAACCGGAAGGAAGCGCGTAGCTAAATGCAAGCCACAATTTACTAGCTGGACTCGAAGAGCTAAATATACCCCATAATTTTTATTTTCTTTGTTGCTTTTACCATATACACCCCAATTAATCTCATTTCACCTTTTGGATAGTGAAAAAATTTGGGTAAAAAAAAATGCATAGCTAACAAAAGAAAGGGAATTACATCTACAAGCAAGATTGAACAAAAAAGAGGGAAATCATTGTAGTTTAACGAACACCTGCAAAGTTTCTAACAAAATGTAGATGCACATTCTTTTAGTTTCTCGTCTTGTTTTTGAGACTTCTTTAAATTAGGCATGGAGTAATTTTTGATGGAATGCTTATCTTATGATATTATTTATTAGCTTGACGGGTAATTGATCTTGTTTTTTCTTGTTAACACCATTGTAAATGGACAGAAATGCTTAAGAAAAATACCTAGCCCTGATCTGCAGGTGTCTTTTTGCTGGATATATTTCTACTGATTGGAATTAAGGTGCCCAAACACCAGCAATTTGTTCGGCATACAGTCACCAAACAATCTTAATTTGTTCGACTCTTAGGTGCCGAACCCTTTTCACTTGTTCAGCCACTGAGCCATACATCCTTTGTTATTCTCCAAAATATTTTTATAGGAGTAGAATTTAGTCATATTTATATTACTTATATAAAGAATTTACATAATGGGGTCAACTTAGTATATACTTGGGTTGCATTCTAACCGCTCCTGGGAAGGAATTTCATTTTTCTTTTTTTCTTTTCATTACTCCACTTCATCAGTTACACGTGCTTCTTAAATGTGAAAAAAAGTTAATGCCGGGGTTTCTATCCATCATTAAGCTTGTAATTATCATATTGATGTTGTTTAAATGAACTTCATTTATTCTCTTTATGCTTTTAGCCCCCAAAACCATCAGACAGAGCTCAAGTCCAGTCGAAAGAAGTGAGACTGCCAGATGCTGGGCCAATCTCTCTTGATGACCAGGATGTTCAAATCGTTAGTTTTCTCTCTGTCACTCCCAATTACTTTGATATTTGTGCTTAATTATAAATTGTAATATAGGAGTTCATAAGTGGAGGCCTGTAGATCCTGTATAGCTTTTGGTTCTCAAGTAACACTGCGTAATGTGAATATCACAAAGATAATGATTAGTTTAATTTTTGAAACATACACAATCTTATTCTTGAGAATATTGTGATGAAAAATTATTAGTACATGTAGTCGTTACATGCCCAAATTCAAAAATTTATCCCATATCTGCTGATCTTGTCACAATATCTCTTATATTTGAAACTTGTTCTAATAACTATATTTTCTGTATTGGTGTCTGGTATAAGTGGACACATTAACCCTATATCATCCATATACAACATACACTAATATATTAAATATTGTAAGCGACCTCTTAGCTCTGAACTTTACTTATCATTGTGCTCATAAACGTTTTGAAGTATAATCATAGACAGCGACTTCTTAGCTCTGAACTTTACTTATCATTGTGCTCATAAACGTTTTGAAGTATAATCATAGACACCACGCCCTATGTGGAACTGCTAAAACTTAATTTTCCTTTCCAGGATTAACCATACGAGGCCCGAGATTTTTCTGTTCACTCTTATTAACGCTCGTGGCAAAATTTGTGATCTGGATCTGTTATATATGTGTGTGCGTGTGTGTGTGTTCCTTTGCAAATTATTGGTTATGTAATAGAACTTATAAGTCCTGCATATAGTTCCACCAACAGCGAAGTGATCTAATATATTATGCAGAAGGATGTAAACGAGCATAATTAGCTGCCTTTTATCCTGCTATGACTTTTTGACTTGATTTAATCCCTTCAATTTAACTACTATGTTTTTGAACCTTTAGACATTAAAATTAAGTGAAGACCTGCATCTCAATGAAATGGACGCTGTGCGTTTGCTTGTTTCAGCCAATCAAGAGGTAATATTTGGTATTCTCTGGTCCCATTATTGTGTTGACAGGCAATTATCATTACAGGCAACCAACGGATGGGTATTTAAAGTCTATATTATCTATTTACTATGTTGAAATAGGCCTTTTCTTTTAGAAGGAAAAGGGGATTTAAACTGCGAAATTGGCTTTTTTTACATGAGTAAAGAAGTTGATGGATTTCAGTCACTAATTCGACTTGCAGTCAATATTGTCAATATTGTGTTTTCTCTATTGTTGCTTGCAACTATTATATTTGTTCTCTCAGTGGGGATTGCTGGGTCGAGAGCCATTAGAGATCTTTCGCTTTGCTGCGGGACTTTGGTATACGGAGAGGAGAGATTTATTAACAGCAATGTACATGCTTTTGAGGGTATTGTTCCTGGTTCATTCATATATAATAAGAATCTTTCCTTTCCTTTTCTGTCTTTTTTTCCCCTGATAGCTATTGTTTTGT